CTGGAGCAGATTTTTTTCCCCCTAGCTATGCTGAAAAAGCGAAACTGGAAGTAAAGCAGGGTCTTGGCTACAACGTGACAAAATGAGGCAGAGAGAGATTTCTTTTTCTTTTTCCTCACCAAAAAAGGTAGGTGCCAAACTGCAAACAATGGGAAATTTAGGGCAAAAGAGGAGAGTTCAAGATTTTAAAATACAAAAGAAAAAAAGCTCTATTTAACTAGGGAATTGTAATAATTGAGATACTATTAATTGTATATTGTGTTGAAAGCAGAAATGGTTAAGTTGGAGGAATATATGGGGGAAATTATTTGGTTTATTATTATTGGTAAATATAATTAATTGATTTATAAGAAATTGGATTGCATGGAAATAATTGAAATATTCATGTTCATATTGATTAATATACAAAAAAGATAGTTATATAACTAATTGATTTATATTAAAATGTTGAATTTGTATTAAACAACTGTAATATTACATAATTAACCAATGTGAGGATGGATATAAAAATAGATGACAATGGGAAGGGGTATAATATAGAATAGAAGGGAAAATTGAATTTGATTAAGATTAGAGATGAGGATGAAGGGTAATATTGGTTTTTTAAAAAAAATAGATGAGGAATAAATATGGCAAAAAGGAAATATAGAAATTGTAAATTTAATTGAAATGACTAAACACTGTTTAAATTTGTGAACCGGCCAAATACTCTGTTCAAAGAAAATACATTGTATGTTTGTATGTGTGTTTCTAATTATTGCTATTTATTCATATTTGTTCTCTTTTATTCTTTAAAGTTTAACAATTCATTCTTTATCTTAATATCTTTATATTTGTTTGGGGTTGGCTTTCTTCCCTTTCATCTTTTTTATTGTACAGCAATCTTTCTTCTCAAACCTACCACCTCTCTCTTTTCTTTCCTTCTTACTTTCTCTTCCCCCCTCTTCTTCTCCTCCTTACTTCCTCTTCCTTTCTCGTTCGCCTCCTCTCTTCCTCCCTCTCTTACCCTTATTCCTACTCTAATTTCCCTTCCCTTTCTTCACCCCTCTCTATTGCTGTATCCTTTTATGCATATGGACTACTCAGAGGGCTAAAAAAGTTATTTCTGACTGGTCCTCGCAGTTTTGACCAGTCCTCAAACTTACGACTGTCCTCACATTTTATGTTTTTGCCCTATCTTGTCACCATGGTGAAGAGAAGCAGTTGTGAAATGAGTGACACGGTTGTTAAGAATGCTGCAACGGGCATAAATGTGAGGATGGTCATGAGTGCGAGGACCGGTCAGAAATGACTTTTTTCAGCCATCTGAGTAGTCCCTATGCAGATGCCACGCCCACTGGTCACATGGCCAGCTAGCCACGCCCACCCAGTCACATGGCCAGCTAGCCACACCCACCCAATCACATGACTACCAAACCACACCCCCAACTAAGCCACACCCACAGAACCAGTTGTTTAAAAAATTGAATCCCACCACTGGGTAGAACAGTGGTGAAATGTAAAATTTGTTACTACTGGTTCTGTGGGCGTGGCTTGGTGGGGGTTAATGTGACGGTGGGCGTGGCCAACTTTTTTTTTACTTTTAAAACCATTTTTTCTAGAACCTCTTCAGCCAAAGAGGTTGTAAAAAAATGCTTTTAAAAGCCTCTGATGATCAGGCAACTCAGCTGGGATCGTCAGACCCTTTTTAAAAGCATTTTTTCTATAAACTCTTCAGCTGAAGAGGTTGTAAAAAAAATGCTTTTAAAAGCCCCTGATGATCCCAGCTGAGCCGCGCAATCATCTTTTTTTTTTTTACTTTTAAAAACATTTTTTCAGCTGAAGAGGTTGTAGAAAAAATACTTTAAAAAAAAAAGCCTTTGATGATTGTGCGGCTCAGCTGGACATGGGGGGAGGGGCACGGATTTTTGCTACTGGTTCTCCGAAACACCCACCACCATCGTTATTGGATTTATTTATTTATTTAATTTATTTATTTATTTATTTCCAATTTCTATACCGCCCTTCTCCCTAAGGACTCAGGGCGGTGTACAGCCAGAATTAAAAACATGCAATACAAATATTAAAAACAATTAAAATATATATAAATTTGGCCCAAAAATTAAAAATCACTACCAATTAAAACATTTAAAAATTTCTTTTTAAGACAGCCCGGCTTGCTGGAAAAAATGGGTTTTAAGGGCACGGCGGAAGGCACTGAGGTCTTGGATTCTCCTTATCTCTGGGGGCAACTGATTCCAGAGGGTAGGTGCCCCCACAGAGAAGGCCCTCCCCCTGGGGGTCACCAGCCTGCACTGTTTGGCTGATGAAACCCCGAGGAGACCCTCTCGTGGGAGCGCACGGGTCGATGGGAGGTCGTCGGTAGCAGCAGGCGGTCTCGAAGATAGCTAGGCCCTATGCCGTGGAGCGCTTGAAAGGTGATGACCAACACCTTGAAGCGCACCCGGAAGACCACCGGGAGCCAGTGCAGCTCACGCAGGAGCAGTGTTACATGGGAGCGCCATGCTGCTCCCGTCACTACCCGCACTGCTGCGTTCTGGACCTGTTGGAGCCTCCGGGTGCTCTTCAAGGGGAGCCCCATGTAGAGAGCGTTGCAGTAGTCAAAGCGAGAGGTGACGAGGGCATGAGTGGCTGTGCACAGGGAATCCCGATCAAGAAAGAGCCGCAACTGGCGAATCAGGCGAACCTGACAAAAGATCCCCCTGGTAACAGCCATCAGATGTTCCTCCAAGGACAGCTGCATATCCAGGAGGACTCCCAGATTGCGAGCCCTCTCTGTGGGGCCAAAGACTCGCCCCCAATAGTCAGTGATGGAGTCAACTGACTATATCGGGATGCCGGGAGCCACAGCCACTCAGTCTTGGAAGGGTTGAGCTTGAGCCTGTTCCTCCCCATCCAAATCCGCACAGCCTCCAGGCACTGGGACATCACTTCAAGGGCATCGTTGGGGTGGCCTGGGGTGGAGATGTACAGCTGGGTGTCATCAGCGTACTGGTGGTATCTCACCCCGAAGCAACGGATGATCTCGCCCAGCGGCTTCACATAAATGTTGAACAGAAGGGGCAAGAGAACCGATCCCTGCGGCACTCCACAGACGAGAGGCCTCGAGGTCGACCTCTGCCCCCCTGCCAACACAAACAGTGACCGGTCGGAGAGAAAGGAGGAGAACCACCGCAACACGGTGCCTCCCACCCCCAACTCTTCCAGCCGGTGCAGCATGATACCATGGTCGATGGTATCAAAAGCCGCTGAGAGGTCTAACAGGACCAGAACAGAGGAGCAACCCCTGTCCCGAGCCCTCCAGAGATTGGGCGATCTGGTCCGAACCAGGAGTATTTCACCCCTGCAGTAGAAGTTGAAACAATTTATCTCCAGGATGGAAGGGGCCTGTAAATATTTTCACAGCCCTCTTTTTGACTCATGCAGTATAAAGATCATCAATGGAAGGCAGGTTGGTAGCAGTGGTGGTTCCTCCCAGTTCGGTCCGGTTCGGCCAAGCCGGTAGTGGTGACGATATGATGTCACCGACCCCCCCACCCCCCCCACCTTATTCTTACCTTTTATTTGGTCCCACCCCAATCTATTGCTGCCTCCTGAGTCCCAGCTGATGACTAGAGGGAAAAAAACTGTTTAAACTCTTGCCGCGGGGCTTCAAAGGGCCGTCCTACAGCTGATCAGTGTTAAAAGCAAACAAACGGGTCGTAAGTGCGAGGACTGGTCGTAAGTGTGAGGACCTTCCAGAAATAACTGACCAGCTAGCCACGCCCACCTAGTCACATGACCTCCAAGCCATACCCACAAAATAAGCCACACCCACAGAACCGGTAGTAAAAAAAATTTAGAACCCACCCTTTGTTGGTAGTAATTGTTTTTTCTGCAGTTCTAATTATCCTCTGAAGTCTGTGTCTGTCTTGTTGGATTGCAGAACCAAACCAGACAGTTATAGAGGTGCAGATGACAGACTCAATAATTCCTCTGTAGAATATATTTTCTAAGGCTTGCTGGCCTGTTTGTCATTACTAGCTACCAGGGCAAAGCAGAATAACAGAATTGGAAGGAACCTTGGATTTCTTCCAGTCCAATCTCCTGCTCAAGCAGAAGACCTTACATGTGTTAGAGAATGTTGAACTTTATCAGTTACTTGGTAACTGAAAAGGTAGTTCTGCTACCAGGCAGGATGTGTTAGGTCCAGCATCAACGTATACAGTATTTATTACATATATGGATCCTCAAAACCTGAAAACTCATAGAATCCCATGATAAAACAGTGAAAATGGAACAATGAATGTTCAGTCATTAAGTGGTTGTGCCTCTCTCTTCTGTTTTCAGAATATATTACATGGGTCACCCTAGGGAACTCAGAAATTAAATTTTCTGGGATCAAATCTGGAAGTAGAGCAGATTTGCTTCTGAAGCTGACAGCTACCGTTTCAGTGTTCCCCATCAGCCTCAGTTACGGTCCATTTGACTGATTGAAAACAAAAAAGCACGCTCCAGCCTCATGTTTCTGAGTGAAATAATCCTTCTGCTCTATCAATTCACTGTGGTATGTGGAAAGAGATTGCTAAAGTAGAAATTAGAATTACAAATGAAGCTATAAAAATGTCTGTAAGCTGTTTTTTTTTTCCTAAAAAGAAATCCTTCTGATGTTGAATCCTGATTATAATTGCACAAGAGTATTCCATTCAATGTTTTTCAGATCCTGTAAGCAAGGATCATTTGTCTACTAACATGAAGTTGGAACCTCCAAACGAAATCTAAATCATGGGGAGAAACTGTTTTTTAAGGACCGGGATCCTAATTTGCTCTTCTTGGAATTACTGTACCAGTTTCAAAGTAGCCTGTAGTAAAAGCATTTTATTATTTATTAAGAGTTTCCATATGTTCTGAGACATGACTGGTTTGTTTCTTTTTTCATTTTTCCCTCTTGGCAGCTAAATAAATAGGGTTCTTCCCTATCCCCATTTACTAAGTTTTTCACTGATTTCATCTCCTTTTAGAAAACAAAATGATCAGTAGATTGAAAAAGCACACAGCATTATTCTCCCAACTGCTTGAAGTCCACCAAAGATCACGAGGAGGGAATATGGAGTTAACACTGTTAAAAGGAGTAGACAGGTATGGAAGTTAAAATTTCTCTAAATTTTAAGGAGCCTATGATGGCATCATCTGTTCTGCGTGATCTCAGGAAAAAATTAGAAGTAACAGATAGCTGCATTGTCTGCATACATACCCACCCTGAAATACCTTTTGTGCCTTTGAATCTAAGGTGTTGCGCAACTGTGGAACAAATTCAAAATCTGAATCAAAAGCTGCTTCCTTTTCCACTCTCAAAGAAGCTGAAGTCATAGACATCACCGCTAATGTTTGCCCATAAATCTCAGTGGTACAGGTCCATTTCTTCAACTGCCCTTTTGTAATACTGCTTGTTAATATCTGCTGCGATTGGCATGCTGTTGGTTCCCCAATTAAACAGTTGAGGGACCCAGGAGGTGTGGCTTCTGTCTCTACATCTGCCCTCTGGTACATCATTCCCTCCAGGATCTGAACACTCCCAATCTTGCTGTCCTTCAAGACAGACTTAAAGACCTGCCCTCCCCATGCAATGGGTCAGGACATTATATGAGCTGATCATTAAGAATGTAGTATTGGAAACTGATGTAGTCTCTTCCCACTAGCCTGGTCATTTTTATTTTTATTTTACATGCTGACAGTACCGGTATATTGTTTAACCCTTTTTAGTTATCAAAAGTTTTGTGACCTGTGCAGAGGTGGGTTTCAGGAGGTTCTGACCAGTTCTGGAGAACCAGTAGCAGAAATTTTGAGTAGTTCGGAGAACCAGTAAATACCACCTCTGACTGGCCCCGCCCCCATCTATTCTCTGCCTCCCAAGTCCCAGCTGATAGGGACAAAATTTTGCAGTATTCTTCCCCTGGAGTGGGGTGGGAATGGAGATTTTACAGTATCCTTCCCCTGCCACACCCACCAAGCCATAACCACCAAGCCACACTCACAGTGGGTGGTCACAAAAATTGAAATACTGTAGTAAATAAGGAACAGTGAAAACAATGGCTAACATTGGAAAGCCATGACACCAGAATGTCAAGAAGAATCCTATAATCATATATAAAGTGTTTAAAGACAGGAAGGAAGATAAAATCAAGAAGTATAGGGATAGATTAAGAGGAAAAGCAGGGAGGAGAAATCTCAGGAGTGACAGACCAGCTTTGCTTTAATGATTCCAATCCAAGGAAAGAAAGTGTGAAAAGAATTTGAAGTGAAACTGCTAACTTCTTTGAAAAGAGCAGCTGAATAATTGAGAGTATACAGATTCACAAAGAAAGGAAGAATTCTGCGTATCCTAATGGGATATTGATAAAGACTTCATGTCAACTGGTTTGTTAACGGATGGTGGGCCAATCAAGAAAGAAAGAAAATTGTTCTTCTTAAAGATGTTTTCCAGGCGCAACTTACTATCCAGAGTTAAGATGGGCAGATGGCAGCCCATATGTAGCATTTCATGGATGTTCATAACCCTCCTGCAACTTCCAATTTTGCTGATTACTCTTTCTAGATACTGCAACATGGCTGCCGGTTACGTGAAATTTCCTGTATTGATAAATCCCATGTTCATTGCAATACAGAAACCAAATTATTTGACACTAGGCTCTGAGTGGGATCTGTGATAAGAGAACAGAGGTTTTCATGAAACTGGCACCTCCCCAACACCTACCCACCCCAGAGCCTTCTCAGAACAGAAGACAAAGTATCTGCTCTGACTTCTTCACTATGAAACCTCAACGGTCACCAGACCTTGTTGCAAACCAGCAATAGGTCAAATATAGCATATCAGGGAAGGAAGAGATTTTAACTATGTGACCTTAGCAATCTCAATGACATTAAGAAAGCACTGGAAGAACAGTTATCTGCGTGTATCCCCTTTCAGCCTTGCAAGGTAGTCCAGACAAGAAGCACCCCTAAAAGTACTAGCTCTAATATTGTAAAGTTACATTAACAGAATCTTGCAATCTGAAAGTACCTTTCTCTTCGCTGCCCCTCACATTTACAGTCCCAGAAACTAGGAAGGGTCCCTACTGAGACACTTGCCACCCCCCCATTCTTTTTGCAGACTTAGTTGCTCTTCTCCGACTGTTTTCTTGAGTAGTCTGCAGCTCTTTCTCCTGGCTCCCAAGGCCATCCTCCCATATCATTACGTCCTCTGACCTCCATTAAGTATCACATGCAACTCTAGAGCAGTGGTCCCCAACCTTTCCAGGTTTGCGGACTGGTGTGGGGGGGAGAGGGGATGGTTCTGTGTGAGCGGCAGATGAGCAGCATGCACACGCAATTCCATTTGTGAGTGTGGCGGGCATGCTCGCCAGCCGCTTGTGCAAATGGAGCTGCAGCGCATGCACAAGGGCTTGCCCATTGCTCATGCAATTAGAGCTCTGCTCATGCGCTCGCCTGCTGCTTCCGTAGCCCGGGTCTCAATGGGCCACGGCCTGGTAGTGGGCTGCGGCCCAGGTGTTGGGATCCCAGCTCTAGAGACAAAAAGATTGTCAGGGCACAGAGATTCTGTAATCTTGCTTTTGGCCCCATCCCATAATTTTTTGATGAGGGTGCTTTCTGAGCTTGGTTGTTTTCTTGCTGATGTTTCATTATCCAAACTAGATAACATTATCAGTGCTAGTGAATTTTGTGAAAATGGCTTTTTCATAAATACATTCCTGGATGCTTTCTACAAGCATTGTGTCTTCTTGCATTAATAATTCCTGAAATTTCTGCTTAGCTATCTGTTCATTTCCATTTTGAGCTGTTCATTTCCATTTTGTCAAATATAATTTAGTGAATGATCACTGATTAAAGTATTTATTAAAGGATAGGAAGCATCAAATCAGGGTCTCAGATGATAGGGCTCGGAGCTCGGAAGCCCGTTTTCACTTGCAGAGCACTCAGGCCACCACAGGCACCCCCAAACATGAGTGATGTCAAGCTGGCCACGCCCACCCTGGCCCTCCAAGGTCAGACACTACCCTGATGCTGCCCTCAATGAAATCGAGTTTGACACTCATGTTCTAAGAGATTTTCTATCCTTTTATTCTTATTTGGGCCAGTCACTACATTTCAACTTATAATTTCTTTGGATGGTAATTGTGTAGATAATTTTCAATTCCATGGAAGAAGATGGAATAAAAACATAATATACCACATATTGTCTCCATATATGCCTGTATTTTTCAAGTGTGGTACTCTACATTCCTGTCTCTGAGGAAGCAGATGAAATGGAAAATAAGGAGATTTGTGCTGTTCACATGAAGCCCTCGTGGTTCAGCTGGGCTATCTTTATTTCATCTTACGCTTGACCAAACTGGATAGCTAGTAAAGTTAGATTGCTCTCTTGCCACCTCATCTGCTCCTCTGATTATTCTCTCCGGAGCAACAGCTAGTCTTTTTAGAATGTGTCCCAAGGTAGCTCTCCAGGGAAAGAAATATGTTACTACCTGCTTCAGCAGATGTAGCAACCGTCCTGCCTAGCGAGGTTTTATAGGGAGTAAACTAAGCAAACAGAGGACCGTCTGTTATTTTCGGCTTCGTGGCTGAGATGTAGATTATATCATTACGGTCCAATGCCATTCACCAACTCTTCTGTAAGTTAGATGGTGCTTTCTTTTTAAGTGAAAGAGTGGAAGTTCTGCCCCAACCTCCTTCAAGCACACAGCTTTCGAACTTTCTACTTATGGGGAATACCTTTTCACAGTCCAGGCAAAGACAAATCTCTTATTTAAAGGTTAATCACGGGTGAGTCTTTCTACCTGGCAAGCTCAGCATTGCGATGGACACATGGACAGAATGTCTTACTCCTCTCCCTATGAATTTGTCGGGGTGACCATCTGTTATTCATCCATTCTAGTAAAACCAAAAAGCCAACATTGAATGCTTACATGTTTGTGGCTTGGGAATTCAGATGGGGATGATGAGTCACAAAGGATATATTTTAAAAAAGCATATCTCCCCAATCAGTTTTTCTCCCACTTAGGGGAAAGTTTCACCTTCCTGAAACTTCACAACTAGAAGGGCTCAGAGTGCATTCCAGAGTAAAAATGAAACTGCTTGTTCAGGAAATAATATCTCTAACTCTGCTACGTGTCCAACCTCACCCTACCACCTTCCAAGAAATCTGCACATATGTTTCTCAAGAACTTAAGTCACATTCCAGTTCTAGAAGGGCACTGGCCAAGGATGTGAAACTTCACCTGTACAAGGTTATTTTTACCGTAATATGACATGACAGACCAGTGAGTTTCAATTGAAGGGGGAAACTAGAAATGATAAATTTCCAATAAAGTTTATTTAATTTTACAAAGCCCCCTGGTTTAGGAACATTAAAGAAAGTTTCAAAACATCTCAGGGTTACAAAAATAGAGCAACAGGATAAGATTCACACATCGTTCTATGGCACAGTTTGCTGATTCATGGCTTAATGCCTGGGTAGAGGTACAAGTAGATGGCATATAAAAATATTTGTAATAAATAAAATGTTAAGCCAAGGGTTGTCACAGCATCTCTCAGGGGTGACACAGGGATGTGAAAAACATCTGTTGATATCAGCCCCACTAGGTAGATTTGAACAAAAAATCAAAGCTAAAGTTACTTTTATTGAGATGGGCAATAATAACAATAACACCTTGCAAGGCTGATTGTATTATCCATCTCCTTCTCAGGGAGAAGTGAATCAGAGAAATGACTTTTACCAAATTTTATCTCATTGTTCTTGACTTATTAAACACTTCAGCCTCTTTTATCTATGTAATGGTCCCTGAATAAGGAGGGTCATTTTTTTTATTGTTTACAGTCAACCCCTCCCCCAAATTAAATAACAATGTGGGCTCTCCAATGGGAGTACAGTGGTTTAATGCACCCTGTAATTAACACAGCTGCCTGCAATTTCTGCAGATTCGAATCTCACCAGGCTCAAGGTTGACTCAGCCTTCCATCCTTTCTAAGGTAGGTTAAATGAGGACCCAGTTTGTGGGGGCAATAAGCTGACTTTGTATAAAAATATACAAAAGTATGAAGGCTATTGCTTAACGCATTGTAAGCTGCCCTGATTCTCCGGA